TGTCTGGAATTCCATTTTAACTGTTATTGGCTTGGTAGTTTAAAACTGTCACTCAGAATAACAGGTTTATAAAACCACCAAGTAAGTCAGTCTGTATATTTGTAAGCAGAGACCTGCAACTGCATAAGCTCAGATTGATGTCACATTTGTGATTCTGAAACTGACAAGAACTCCCCTAGTGACAGGATCAGTAGAATATGCTGGGAGAAGAAGGCTCACCTGCTTTGTATGTGTTGTTTCCTCACTGGCAGAATGTAAGTTGCTTATGCGAGTGCGACACCTCACTCTTCCAGCCGATGAACACAAACAAGCAGAGGGGCATTTCACTTCTCTCTTGTGTTCTTCATAGCAATCCTGCCACTGGTGTGGTCTTGCCACCATCTTGATTGCAAGTGTTTGCATCCAGGGACAGTCATCTGTCTTTATCCGCAAGTAGTTGCTCCATATGTGATTACATGCAAACAGCTGCAGCCTCTCATCCTGTCATTGTGCAGACTGAGTGGCCTCAACTATCTCCATGTTTGGATTCTTGCATTGCTGCTACTAAAATCCCACATGAATGAGACCATACCCCACCACCCATGTAAACTGAATTGATATGGTATCTTGCTGTGATTACTTTTTTCCTAGTTGCAGTGTTGTACTTTTCTCATCATCTCTCAGATTTTTGCTACTTGTATTTGTCTGCACTTGGTGTTCACAGTCTAATGGATGTTTGCATGAAAAAGCAGCTGCCGCCCTGTTCTTCCTTTATTATATTCTATGTACCATATGCCTGCTTTCCATCTGTAACATAGCTCATAGTAACACAATGACTAATTCAGTTTACCGCACCATGTTATTAATGGCACTGTATTGCTTCCCATTTTCTGACTTCTTTCATCCACTCACTGTTTATTTTGTTATCTCACCATGTGCTTCGTTTGCCTCCACTGACTAAACCAACACTTTCTCAGTGGCTTCATCGGTTCGCTCTTGCTAAAATGTCTGTGCCATCTCTTGGTCCCTCATCTGTTTGTCCTTGTCTGGAATGCAGTAGTCACATGGCTGGTTGTGTAACAACACTTGCTAGAGAAGAGGTCTGCTGGCTCACCACAAGGTAACACCATACGTGCTTCTTTACTGTATGTCTCGTCTACCACTGAATTCAGGATTTGTGCACAGCGCCACAGCAACGATATGTTTTCTGTAATTAGTGTGCAGATACATCCATTGTGACGTGATTGCATGCTGCAAGCAGCTCACCGCACAGGCTCCTTCATCTTCTTGGTGATGTAGATCAGTGTTTCTCAACCTTTTTTCAGTCAAGACACCCTTTAAAATTATGGACAATTTTGAGGCACCCTCCAAAATTATGGACATTCTTGAGGCACCCCATTCTAAAATGTAAAAACTATTCAATAGTTCTATATAACGCAGCAACATCCACACACGTAGGACACCCAACATTAGAGGTGATTTATTCTTCCAAAGCAAAGCAAATACACTTTTGCACACTGGTACTGACTAGTATTCCATTGTTTCTCTTCTCCCTCAGTTTTTCTCTATCACTGAGCTAATGTGACCCCAGCACTGATGGAGAGGGGCAGGTGAGGGTCAGTCAAGGATGCTTTGCAGGCAACCGACATCCTCCTTATCAATTGAGGTCATTGGTTGTCAAGTCGCCAGCACCTAGAAGGTTGTAATGGTGTGCAATGAAAACCTGTGGCTTTGTATAACTAAAAGGCTTGTTCCACCTGCTGGCTTGTATACAAGTTTTGGACAATTTTTAGACATTTTGCCGGGGCACCTTGCTTGAAAAAGGCTGATAATAGATATCGAGACACATTATTAGTTTAGCAGATACTGAACAAAGACCAAATGAAGTGCAAGAAACCTTTTGTATTCTAGCAGTAACCATGATTTGCCAAAAAGAAAGGCTCCTGTACAGGAGGCTTAAACACCATACTTCATACCAGCATTGATGGATGAAGCAAACTCTAGATACACCTGATTTTAAAGGCTAAGTCAACCTGAAAACAAAAACAAATGTACATATTTTCACAGGAACATACAAAGCATTACATCCATGATCAGTGGATCATGGGTGCAATGTCAGGCACCTGAAGACTCTTCCTGCAGCTCCCTGCCTGTGCTGGGTACAGACTTTCAGTTGGAGAGCTGGAGGAAGTGTCAATGAACTTCAGTTGTGGTGAATCACCAACGCTCCATTGAAGACTACATGTCCATCTTCTGCAGCATTTTATCCATGATACATGATACATCCTAAATACGAGTGTACTGTGGTACTAAACATAAAGTTAGCTTGCATATATATCATTATGTGTGTATATACACTATGCTGCCACAAGTTTGACCTCTGACCATCATAAGCTTGTTCCCGTCTGATTGTAAAATGTTACATGTTACACCCTGTATATGGACACATGGTCCTGGAGAAACAGTTACAATGTTTGCTGTACACAATTGTCTAAAATATATTTGTATTCTGTAGCATTAACCCTTCTGTTCACTGGAAACACCTGAACTCAAATGGTTTGAAGTAATGGGTGTCCACATACTTTTAGCCATATAGTGTATCAGCATACAGAAACCCTTATGGACTTATGTAAAGTGGAACTATACTGTATCTGAGCAGCGCAAAGTAAAAGTGCTATTTAATTTATTTTTATTATTCAAAGTTCGTTAAATCTGAAATTGTGTAAACAATATTTGACTTGTACTGTTCCTTTAAAGCAGAACTTAATTGTATCTGAGCACCACAAACCAAAAACGCAATATATTTTTCTAATAATTAAAGAAAACTCAGACATCCATGTCTGTGTTAATTTTGTTGAGAAATCACTTTGAAAAACACCCCCTAGCATTTCTTGCCACAGCCATCTTGTGTATTGGCAGATGATTCAAGTAGCATTTACTGTCTGGAATCTATCTGCCCTTAGCTCAGGCATGCAGGCAGGAGGGTGTGCTTATTTGTGAAAAACCTTGAAGACTCCTGGGATGTATGACATCATTCTTGCCTATTCCAAAAACCAGAAAGAAACTGAAGAAATGTGAAAACAAGTTTAAAACAGGTTAACATACCATCCTATCTATTTACTAATGCTAACAGCATCTACAGTGCCTTGAAAAAGTATTCATAACCCTTGATATTTTCCACATTTTGTCATGTTACAACCAAAAATGTAAATCTATTTTATGTGATGGACCAATACAAAGTGGCACATAATTGTGAAGTGGAAAGAAAATGATAAATGGTTTTCAAAATTGTTTATAAATAAATATCTAAAAAGTGTGTTGTGCATTTATATTCAGCCCCCCTGAGTCAACACTTTGTAGAACCACTTTTCACTGCAATTGCAGCTGCTAGTCTTTTTGGCTATGTCTCTACCAGCTTTGCACATCTAGAGAGTGAGGTTATTGCCCATACTTCTTTGCAAAATAGCTCAAGCTCTGGATTGTATGGAGAGTGTCTGTCTGTGAACAGCAATTTTCAAATGTAGCCACAGATTCTCAATTGGATTTAGGGTTGGACTTTGACTGGGCCATTCTAATACATGAATATGCTTTGATCTAAACCATTCCATTGTAGCTCTGGCTGTATGTCTAGAGTCGTTATCCTGCTGGAAGGTAAATCTCTGCCCCAGTCTCAAGTCTTTTGTTTTCTTCCAAGATTGCCCTGTATTTGACTCCATCCATCTTCCCATCAACTCTGACCAGCTTCCCTGTCCCTGCTGAAGAAAAGCATTCCCCACCACATGATGCTGTCACCACCATGTTTCCCAGTGGGGTGATGTGTTCAGGGTGATGTGCAGTGTTAGTTTCCTGCCACACATGGCGTTTTGCTTTTAGGCCAAAAATTTCAATTTTGGTCTCATCTGACCAGATCATCTTCTTCCATGTTTGCTGTGCCCCCCACATGGCTTTTCACAAACTGCAAACGGGAATTCTTATGCCTTTCTTTCAACAATCTTTCTTCTTGCCACTCTTCCATAAAGGCCAGATTTGTGGAGTTCACAACTAATAGTTGTCCAGTGGACAGATTCTCCCACCTGAGCTGTGGATCTCTGCAGCTCCTCCAGAGTTACCATGGACCTCTTGGCTGCGTCTGTGATTAATGCTGTCCTTGCCCAACCTGGCAGTTTAGGTGGACGGCCATGTCTTGGTAGGTTTGCAGTTGTGCCATACTCTTTCCATTTTTGGATGATGGCTTAAACAGTGCTCCGTGAGATGTTCAAAGTTTGAAATTTTTTTTATAACCTAACCCTGCTGTAAACTTCTCCACAACTTTATTTCTGACCTGTCTGGTGTGTTTCTTGCTCTTCATAATGCTGTTTGTTCACTAATGTTCTCTAATAAACCTCTTAAGGCTTCACAGAACAGCTGTATTTATACTGAGAATAAATTACACACAGGTGGACTCTATTTACTAATTAGGTGACTTCTGAAGGCAATTGGTTCCACTAGATTTTACTTAGCTGGTATCAGAGTAAAGGGGGCTGAATACAAATGCATGCCATACTTTTCAGATATTTATTTGTAAAAAAAAGTTTGAAAACCATTTGTCATTTTCCTTCCACTTCACAATTATGTGCCACTTTGTGTTGGTCTATCACATAAAATCCCAATAAAATACATTTACGTTTTTGATTGTAACATGACAAATTGTGGAAAATTTCAAGGGATATGAATACTTTTTCAATGCACTGTAGATTAAAATAGTTAATGTTGACTGAGAGAGTTTAGTTCTGCTTTAAGTCTTAATCCCAAAATGAATTTCTAGTAACAATTAGTACAGACTATGCATAGAAATGTCCCTAATTTTGACATTAAAATAGGCCCCATTTCGTAATTACAGTGCATATTCTGATGTTTTGTGCCAACATGTTGTTTGGGCTGTGTGCTCTTACAATTAGGCTTTGTCTTGCACAGCATGAGTAGGTGTGACTGTGAATTCTAATCTCTCTTCCCTTTATGAGATTTGTACTGTTATTCCTACTGTTAATTTGTTTTGTAGGGACACAGCTGGCCAAGAGCGATTCAACAGCATTACCTCGGCTTATTACAGAAGTGCCAAGGGAATCATATTAGTGTATGATATTACCAAGAAAGAAACCTTTGATGATTTACCCAAATGGATGAAGATGATTGATAAGGTGAGTTGTTTGTAATCATTTGATAAAGGTGTCCCAATACCCCACATCTAAAAATGTTTCCGATTATATTTTAAAATTAATGTTCTTTGTCAGTACCCAAGAAAATAATTTTTGTAAATTCTTAAAGTGATACTAAAGTCTTTTTTTTCTTAAAAGTAACAAACATGTCTATACTTACCCGCTCTGTGCAGTGGTTTTACACAGAGCAGCCCAGATCCTCTGCATGTGTCCCCCGCCCGGAGCTCCTGGCCCCTTTCTCCTGTTAGGTTCCCCCATAGCAAACAGTTTGCTATGGGGGCACCTGAGCAGGTGCATTCCCGATCTGCAGCTCTGCATGCTCATTCACCCACAGAGCTGTGGCTTGGCCTCACACACTCCCTGTCTGCCAATGGCTTCCTTGGCTGCCTCAGCCAATGAGGAGTGACTTCGCTGAATGAAGAAAGGGGCTCAGGTAAGTGTTTGGAGGGGCTACTACACACAGAAGGTTTTTTACCTTCAGGCATAGAATGTATAAAGGTAAAAAACCTCAAGAGCACATGTGCGATGCAGATTGAAGCTCAGGTTTCACAGCTAATTTATACAGTACTTGTTCAAAGGTTCGTGTCAGGTTCAAGACAGGGTTAGCTCAGGATCTTATCTTGTTCACACACATGTGATTTACAAACCGTTCCGACAGGAGTCAATAGCCTGTAATCCGCACCTGAACTGGACCGCACTGCTCAGAAATCGGACATGACTCTTTTTAAACCGCACTGAATCCGCACTACCAGTGCATATGTGAACAGGCACCATAGGAAGCAATGTTTTTTCACATGTCTTGCAGATTGGATGCTGTTCAAAGGGCATACAATCCGCATATACAGTCAGGTCCATAAATATTGGGACTTTGACACAATTCTAACATTTTTGGCTCTATACACCGCCACAATGGATTTGAAATGAAATACACAAGATGTGCTTTAACTGCAGACTGTCAGCTTTAATTTGAGGGTATTTACATCCAAATCAGGTGAACGGTGTAGGAATTACAACAGTTTGCATATGTGCCTCCCACTTGTTAAGGGACCAAAAGTAATGGGACAATTGGCTTCTCAGCTGTTCCATGGCCAGGTGTGTGTTATTCCCTTATTATCCCAATTACAATGAGCAGATAAAAGGTTCAGAGTTCATTTCAAGTGTGCTATTTGCATTTGGAATCTGTTCCTGTCAACTCTCAAGATGAGATCCAAAGAGCTGTCACTATCAGTGAAGCAAGCCATCATTAGGCTGAAAAAACAAACCCATCAGAGAGATAGCAAAAACATTAGGCGTGGCCAAAACAACTGTTTGGAACATTCTTAAAAAGAAGGACTGCACCGGTGAGCTCAGCAACACCAAAAGACCCGGAAGACCACGGAAAACAACTGTGGTGGATGACCGAAGAATTATTTTCCTGGTGAAGAAAACACCCTTCACAACAGTTGGCCAGATCAAGAACACTCTCCAGGAGGTAGGTGTATGTGTGTCAAAGTCAACAATCAAGAAAAGACTTCACCAGAGTGAATACAGAGGGTTCACCACAAGATGTAAACCATTGGTGAGCCTCAAAAACAGGAAGGCCAGATTATAGTTTGCCAAACGATCATCTAAAAAAGCCTTCACAGTTCTGGAACAACATCCTATGGACAGATGAGACCAAGATCAACTTGTACCAGAGTGATGGAAGAGAAGAGTATGGAGAAGGAAAGGAACTGCTCATGATCCTAAGCATACCACCTCATCAGTGAAGCATGGTGGTGGTAGTGTCATGGCGTGGGCATGTATGGCTGCCAATGGAACTGGTTCTCTTGTATTTATTGATGCTGTGACTGCTGACAAAAGCAGCAGGATGAATTCTGAAGTGTTTCGGGCAATATTATCTGCTCATATGCCAAATGCTTCAGAACTCATTGGACGCCGCTTCACAGTGCAGATGGACAATGACCCAAAGCATACTGCAAAAGCAACCAAAGAGTTTTTTAAGGGAAAGAAGTGGAATGTTATGCAATGGCCAAGTCAATCACCTGACCTGAATCTGATTGAGCATGCATTTCACTTGCTGAAGACAAAACTGAAGGGAAAATGCCCCAAGAACAAGCAGGAACTGAAGACAGTTGCAGTAGAGGCCTGGCAGAGCATCACCACGGATGAAACCCAGCGTCTGGTGATGTCTATGCGTTCCAGACTTCAGGCTGTAATTGACTGCAAAGGATTTGCAACCAAGTATTAAAAAGTGAAAGTTTGATTTATGATTATTATTCTGTCCCATTACTTTTGGTCCCTTAATAAGTGGGAGGCACATATGCAAACTGTTGTAATTCCTACACAGTTCACCTGATTTGGATGTAAATACCCTCAAATTAAAGCTAACAGTCTGCAGTTAAAGCACATCTTGTTCATTTCATTTCAAATCCATTGTGGTGGTGTATAGAGCCAAAAATGTTAGAATTGTGTTGATGTCCCAATATTTATGGACCTGACTGTATGTGAACAGACAGTGAGACTTTAAAACCACTTTAATACTTTCAACTGCCCTTACACCTACCAGCCTTAATCAGAAGAGTGGACAGGTTACAAATTTACATCAAGCCATACCTGGCCTTTCACCAGTAGAATTTTGTTTTAGAAAAAAAAATTTCTGAACGTTTGTTCAATTTTTAATTGGGTAATAGGGAGAAGAATGAAGCCCTCTTCCTTAAATGTTTGCTTATCTGTGTAATGTCATTTTTTCTTTGGGAAATATTGTACTTATACTAATGAGCATGTGCTTCCCTAAATTGAAAGTAGAGTTCAAAATATTGCATTGGCAATCGACAAAAATTTTCAGGATTTTCATGCAACATTTGTCTAGTCCATAATGGTACTATTGATTGCTCTGACAAACGATTTTTCTGAATTTCCATAAAGATGTTCAAATAGAATTCAGCTGGTGTATGGTCAACTTATGCAGTATTTTGAGGGTTTGTACTAAAGTCTAATTTCCAGCTATGTTCCTTGTAACATAGCTACTTATGCTGATTATCATCAAAGTCATTCCAATTCCTAGCAAAGGTGCCATCCTGTATCTATGGTAGCCATGATTGTAAAGACCTTAACAGATCGGTGCCGTAGTTTGTCTCCCAGGTTTACGCTCTATATTCAGGTGCTGGCAGAAACAGAGCACATCACACTCCAAAATGTAATATATCCTGCAGATACTGCTGCACACTCTAATCAACTCCAACGTAAGGTGAATGAAAAACTGGCTTCAGCTCAAATCTCAGCCAACTGCTCACGCCTCTCTGACATGTTTTTACCCTCATTCGGCTTAATCTTAGAGGTCCTCAACAATTAATCCCAACGTGGGTAAAACATGTCAGAGGGGCGTGACCCATGAGCTGGGATCTGAGCTGAAGCCAGTTTTTCATTCATTGGAGTTGAATACAGTGTGCAGCAATATCTGCATGGTATAAGCCAGGGGTGCTCAACCTTTTGAAGAACAAGGGCCACTTAAGTGATTTGGCAGCCGGTCACGGGCCACACTGAATTGAAATGGTTCTGGATTTTGAATGTTTTATTTTAAATGAATAGAAGAAGCTGGTAGTCGCAGAAGGAAAATGGAGAGGATCAGGTCCCGTATATGCCACCCCTCCTGTCCAAGTTTAACTGCTTCCCGTCCGCCCTATAGCAGAAATACTGCTACAGGGCGGCACAGGTGCGCAAAATCACATATATATACGTGATTTTGCATTTCCGGGTAGGGGGGAGCGCCCTACCCGCGCCGCCATTCATGCCCACGGCTATCAATCACCGGGCTCCGGCTGGTAATTACTCGCTGGCACCGGGGTGATTTCCGAGGATCTCCAACGGGGAGGAGGACTGTTTTGTTTACTAACAGTCCTCCTCCCTGTCAGCTCAGGCACACTGCTGTGGATGGCTGTGCACAGCACAGACATTCACAGCAGTGTGATTACAGTGAAGCACACACACACCACCCCCTAGTAAAACACTCCCTGCACACAGTTAACCCTTTGATTGCCCCTCATGCTTTTTTTTTTTTTCTTTTTTTTTTAGCACTGATCACTGTATTGGTGTCACTGGGGATGTCAGTGACACCAAGTCAGTTCCCCCGAGTGTCAGAATGTCCGCTGTGGTCCCACTATAAGTCGCTGATCGCCGCAATTACTAGTAAAAATGGAAACAAAAAAAATCCCAGTATATATACCGCCATTTGTAAACACTATAACTTTCACGTTAACCAATTCACATGTATTGGGATTTTTTTTTAGCACAGTCATGTAGCAGAACACAATTTAGCGTAAATTTATGATGAAATTTGGTTTTTTAAAATTTTTTTAACTGGACATGTTTAATAGCAAAATGTAAAAAATATTTTTTTTTCTCAAAATTGTCGGCCTTTTTGTGGTTTTTTTTTTTTTTTTTAAAGCACCAAAAAACAAACGCACAGGCGATCAAATACCACCGAAAGAAAGCTCAATTCGTGGGGAAAAAAGGACGTCAATTTCATATGGGTGCAGCATTGCATGACCGCGCAATTGTCAGTTAAAGTAACGCAGCACCATAACGCAAAAAATGTTCTGGTCAGGAAGGGGGGTAAATCCTTAGGAGGGCAAGTGGTTAAAAAGAATGTGACATGGAGCCCATATGGGCCCCCTGGAGCATGGAGCGGGGTCACCATTGCGATCCCTGACACCACACTAGTGGTTGCGGGAGGTGTGGTAAAACATCTTAACTATGGGGTTTAACGACCCCCCCAAACCAGAAATGTAAACGAACTCTAAATGCCCTGAGCCCCTTATAAGGCTGTGTTCACACTGATGCACTGCAGTTTACCTGCACTGGGCACCTACGGCTTATCTGCGCTTTGCCATAGACTTCTATTATATCATTCTGAAAGCGCATCAAACCCTCAGGATATAATAGAAATGCACTTTCCTGGTTTGAGGAGGGCCACATCAGAGGGCTCTGAGGGACACCTGTGGCCCGCGGTCCACAGGTTGAGCACCTCTGGTATAAGCCATGGTTGTAAAACATTACAAATAAGTGTAATCACAAATTAAAATCAAAATGTGACCCCTGAGCTTCTTTGTGTTTCTGTGTATTTCAAAATCTTCAGCACTTCTTTGTAAGTAGTATCTGAATCCAGCTTTGAAAAGCAAGTACACCTGCTAGTCCTGGTATGTGGGGATGGTTCTTGATGTTGCCACACAAAAGTATATCAAGCGAGGATCCACTTTGACAATGTGATGGAAAAAAAAATATTAGACTGATCTGGCATCACGTAAAAGCACAGTAGAGTCTGTGTTTGTTCCATTATACAGAAAAATAAAGTATTTTTTTAACCTCTGCCATTCATATTATATTGTAAAAGTAAATGTAATTTCTTTTGTTTCATCCAGTATGCCTCTGAAGATGCAGAACTTCTTTTAGTTGGAAATAAGCTGGATTGTGAAGTCAACCGGGAAATTACCCGACAGCAGGGAGAAAAGGTAAACAGCGCAGAGGAACCCCATGAAACAAAAAAACACTTGTCATTAAACAAAACACATCCATGCTAAGCATTTCATTAGATCCCACAATTTTTCATTGTATTGGATGTTAAACTGCAAGTAGATTACTACATCCTGCAGTCAGATTTTGTGTTTTGTTTAGAGAAAGAAGTTATTATTTTATCATTTATTTATACCGACAGGCAAATGTTGGGTGATAACTACACAATTTTTGGGACATACAATACTAAAAAAAAAATCTGCCGGCCAGTTTATAAATGTGCACCCAACTCTCTTTTGATGTCCCAAAGAGACCAGAAAAGCTTGGCACAGCAGTGCACAGGCTGTGTTGCAATCAGATTTGCTCTGTGTGCTGAATCTGTGTCCACATAAAAGGCCTTTCAGCAATCAGGTTATTTCCTAATTAATTCTGCCAGCATCTGTGGGGACATGCCATCCTGAACATCTTCACTAACAATATGCTGGAAATTGCAGATCTATAATGTAAACCTAGCCCAGCAAAGCCTACTCTGTATCACTAGCGTGTAATGGGAGACATAAATTTGTTCAGTTTTAACTGTAGATTTCAAAAACCTCCATTTTAATTGAAAACATGTTTAGGTTGAGTAGATATGAAAAATATTGCTCCTTGTCCTGATCCAGTGTCTGTAGTCCCAGTGTGATTCTCTTCCTGTCAACTTTTTCAACTATCCAAGTGTCAGACAATCTGGAGAATAAAAGTATAAGTTCACCTTTTGATAAAAAAATAATAAATGTAAATTTTTTTTTGCAGGTAAAAAAATTTGCATTTATAATTTTTTTTGCTGCAGGAGCCCGTAAAGCAGCAGATCGCTGGTGCCATGCCAATCTGTCGGTATACCTGCTTGCCCATACAGGATGTACGAGCAAGCAGTTGTACTGACAGCAAGACTGAATGAATTACCATGGCGCTGAACAGCGCCGTGGTAGTTCATTGATAATTACAAGCGGCTGTCGAGACTTGGTAGTTTCTCATTCACAGAGGAATGACAGAGCCCCGCACGGCCACGTTTTCTCAAAAAAAATTGGCTAGTGGGGAGGAGAAGATCCCCTGCTAGATGTCAAAGCGGGCGGGGGGGGGAGGTGCGTTAACCTGAATATGAGTGTAACATGTTATGAAAGGTTATCCTTTAAAGCCTAAGTTTAGTAAGAAAAAAAAAAAAAAGTGTGCACAAAGACATTACTTACAATCAATGACGTGTCCCTTGTGCTGCTGGCTGATGACTTAGAAATGGTACACAGGTATTAATAGACCCAAGAGACCTGTCGTATACACTCATATCTATGCCCAATCTTTCTGCCCTTCTCCTCCTTTCATAGAAGCTGTACTAAAGCTTCTATGAATGAAAAAATTATCTATACATGGAGTAGGCAGACCTTTCATTCATTTGCCTGTCCTCAAATCATAAATAGTTTTTCATTGATAGTACAGTTTTTATGAATGGAAAGGGGGAGGGAAAGGGTGCACATAGATATGCTGAGCACATATGACAGGTCCCCTGGCTCTGTTAACGCTGCTACATCAGAATTTTGCTTGGGGGGGGGGGGGGGGGCATCAGAAGATGGGATATTTCAACTAAAGCACCAGCCAGCAGCACAAGGAGCACATCTCATTTATTGTAATGTATTTTATTTATTTTTGACTAAACTCAGGCTTTAACAAAGAGTGGTGTAGGTAATAAAGCCTGTGCAACTCTTCTAAACTGAGAAAACGAAGCAGATCCTGCTGTTAACAACTGGAGTGTAATCTTCTTTGTTAATTAACAGCTATCTGCATGGAGAGCAGCTAGAGCTGCTTGCTTCACCTCACTCTGCCACAGCCTCCAATACCCCACCCTTTACCTCTCTGTTTGCAGGCTCTACCCATGTAGTACGTTCACATCCCATAAAACAGGTCCAGTCTTCTGCCCCCTTGAATAATTATACGGTCCTTTTGTTAGGCATGAAACCTGTATTTGTTTCTATTTTACTAAACAGGTCTATCTGCTTTGGTAATATGGTGCACACCACTCATGCTGATTTCCTGTGCCATTTTAATGGCCCAGGAAGCTTTGTGTTAACTTCCCCAATATGTTTACATATGGAGCCGACCCCTTATATTGGAGACTAGCATAAGTTAGTGCTAGTCCTGGAAGTGCATTGCAGCTAGTAGATTTGGCTAACCCAGACCATTCATATAAGAACATTGTACGCCAGCTACCCACTTCTGCCTATCGTTTACTTGAATCACTGTAGTTTATTTTAACTTTCAAATAAATTGTTTTTATCTTGTAGTTTGCACAACAGATTACTGGCATGCGGTTTTGTGAAGCAAGTGCCAAGGACAACTTTAATGTAGATGAAATTTTTTTGAAATTGGTTGATGACATATTAAAAAAGGTACTTTTGCTGCTTCTTTTTTGAATAATGGACAGTCATAAAGAATGTTTGTTGTTACATACATGTCATAGTATGTTATATTATAGTAGGGTATGTTTCATATTTCTGTAGGTCGTATCATTGTTGCATGCTTCAGGCTAATACTTTTATATTAAAGGAGATTTCACAATTTTAGAGCCCCTCACTGGTGAGCTGATGAGGATCAGTAACACTAGTCCACCAGTCCTGGGGACTGCCAAAATATCTACTGTATCAGATAGGATGCAATTGTCATTTAGCCAATAATTTTCCATTCATTGGTGGAATGATAAGGAATGACTTTTACACTTTGCCAGTTTTTTTTTTTTGGCTTAAACTTTGATATCCCTTTGCATTAAAGACATTTGATGGCCATGGTTTTTTTTTTTTCCTTTTGGTCATGGTCATGCGGTGTGAAAAGTGTTGATACTACAGTTTGCTAAAGCAAACCTGTATCAAGCAGCAACATTTCAGTGTAGAAGGTTATATAGCAGCCACCCCAAAACAGCCTCTTTAAAAGTGGTACTTTTTGTATGCAGGACATGTGACACTCCTGTCAGTCTCCCACAAAGTAGTATTGACTGCCAATACCTTACCACCTTGTGTAAATACCAAATTCAGAAAATCAGTACTTGCAAAACACTTTTGCCAGATACCAACTGCATTTGAGGGCAGTGGATGATTATAGTTATGGACTTTATACAACCTCACTATTATGTTCCCTGATGAAGATTGACATTAATTGCACATCTATATCTATATTAATATCTAACTGAAATATTCCTAATAGATGAGGCTATAAATTGGCTGGGTTGGAAACCTATTGATCATTTTACTGCTAATAATTTCCCAGTTTACTGCTCTAAAAAGATAGAAAATGGATACAGTATATGAGCACAACTGTATATCACATAGACAAATACAAAACTTAGCACTCAATTCCTCTACCAAAACCCCAATAAGTTACTTAGCATTCCTTCCCCTGAAGTACAAAAAATAATAATAATAGTAAGCAAACTTAAATAAATAAAAAAAATATAAATGTAAAGTCCCATACACCTAAAGTCCGAAATAGAGTCCAAAAAAATTCTTGCAAGTGATTTCCCAATAGATCTTTTCGTCCCAAATCAAAATAGTGGTATACTCCAGAGAATCTTCAAATACCTCAAAGAAAAAGATCTCAACATAGTATATCACCCCAAATATTAAATAAAGTGCCACACGTGTCACATGCAGATACACAAAAAGTGCCACAGCAATCGTGAAATCTCAGGACTCTAATAAATCTTTTTCTTTGAGGTATTTGAAGATTCTCTGGAGTATACCACTATTTTGATTCGGGATGAAAAGATCTATTGGGAAATTAATTGCAAGAATTTTTTTGGACTGTATTTTGGACTTTAGGTGTATGGGACTTTACATTTATATTTTTGTTTATTTAAGTTTGCTTACTATTATTATTGTATATCACATAGACTAACCAAAGTATTTGTTTTATTTCTACGTTATCTGCTTACAGTGCATGGCAAAATTCCTTCCCCGGCTAAAAAACATTGATTTCCCACTATAGAAATAATTGCTTTTACCTGTGCTGGGAGAAACAGGTAGTCTGCCATTGCTGATTCTCCTTCACAAGGATGTTTTGGAACATGACAGGTTAGCAGTGACAACACTCTTATTTCTCTCAGCACAGGTTTATTGTAATGTTAAAATCTCTGGTTAGTCACCCTAACCTTGTAATTGTCTCCCATCCAAATGCTGCATATATTTTTTTTGTCATTCTGTATGTTGTTCCACAAGGCTTTTATCTTTCCTGTGGCTTTCCTATTGCTTTAGTATTACTGGGGAGGTTAAAGGGTTGTGGTCTAATAAAAAAAATACACAATATTATGTGGACAATTTTAATTAAAACAAACAAAAAAAAGATTCCTATTGTCTATTTTTTTGTCTAGGGCTGAGCATAGACATCTCAAAATTTCAGCTGATTCCTGCTGAATTGGCTGCAATATCAGCTGTTGGAGCCCTACAAGTTCCACTCAGTTGAAAGTTATTGGCTGGGTGGAGGATTGTCGTCCGATCAGCGGCAGCATTCACTGTTTGGCTGCACCAATATATTTGGACAGCTGCAGGTTGCACAGCTGACTGGATATAGTATCACAACAGTGGAGATTTCTCCTTAAGCACTGTTTTATTGTGTTTGGGTGAATCAATTGATATATCTCTTGTTTAGACTGTGAGCCAGATCAGAGAAAATTGAGCCATGTAAGGCTAGCTTTAATGTGAGCTTTCACCATTGCTCACACAGCCTTCTTTATGGTTGCCTCATGGTGTGTATTTTCAACAGGAAGGCAGTCTATTTCTGCTGAAGTTTTACAGGTTTTGCTTTTAACTTCTTCTTCTCGGCTGATGTACTTAGATGACAAGATGGGGTCAAATGATTATACTTCTGTATCTCCTTCAGATGCCTCTGGACATAATGCGGAATGAGCTCTCCAACAGCATCCTGTCTCTGCAGCCAGAGCCCGAAGTTCCTCCAGAACTGCCACCACCTCGACCTCCAGTCCGGTGCTGCTGATTCTCTTCTGTGCCCCAACAGAGTGGCACAGTGACACTCAGCCCAGTGCTCTGTTATACAATCATTTGGAAGGTCCCATTTTGCACTTCTGACTCAGTAAAGTGTGTAAATACATAAGCAGCAAATGGAGAATAGGTCTGCATTTGGAAAGCGTTTCTTTTTCTCACAGTCGGGAGTTTGCACACTAATGTCAATGGCCTCTGAATAAAGGGATTGGCCCATTGTAAGCGCTGTACTGCAGTGGTTCCTGCAAAGCACTTTAATTCAGGCTCCACTAGTTGTGTAGTATTTAGTGTTGAAATCATGGCATTTTCTGCTCCGATGTTTAATCAGGCTGCCAGCTACCAAACCTTTTTCTTTTGTTTCTTTTTTTTTCTTTCATTCTAGACATATATATGGTGCTTTGCAAAATGTATTATCACTCCAAAATATTTAAATATTTAAGGTCTCCATAAAATGCTTCCATATACAGTATTATATTTAGTTTATTATACAGTGCAATTTTTATTTTTAATCTGTAGCATTATAGAATTACTGGATCTGCCACGAGTATTAATGTTTGTTCCAGTAGTTTATTTTATTTTAAGTATTTATTAACGTTTAAATAGTTTGAAGGATCTATTTCTGTTCCACTATTTTGCATTTGCTCTTGGTGGTTTACACTTTGAGCTGTCAGTTTCCCCCTTTTCTTTTATTCTTTTGGCACAGGATACATTGTGTGGTATTAAGGCTTAATTGATCAAGCATAAAAGGTATGTGGTTTATGAATTTTGTAGAGACTTCACTGCACACATCAGATATTGGGCTTATGTGGATGTACTGACTGAAAGAAGACTGCTTTTCCACTTAGGAATGGATCACAACAGGACTGAAAATAATGTATTTTTTCTATTCACTTACTAATCTGCGCATTTGACCTCGCCAATTTTTATGGGAGGGTTTTTTTGTTTTTTGGTGAAAAGACATAACATACACCTAAATGGCACACTTCTTCTAATCATGTTGGTTTTGTGAAGTCTGTATTTGATATCCTTCTATTTCAATGCACTGTATAATACAGTATGGGGAAACCGTGGCAGACAATGCTTTTGGATAATGTGTCCTTGTGGAATCAAGACTGTATTTCTAACTAATGAAGTGAAATAAACTTTTTTTTTTTTTTTATTTATGAATGCCTGTGTCCTTTTCATGCCTTGGTTTTAAAAACATCCCTGGAATATAAATTATATATAATATATATTATTATTATTATATTTTATTATTTTATTTGTTTATTTTTTACAGCAGAAACTGTTGCTGCCAACTAAAATTGGTGTTGTGATCATTTTTCGTCTGGTACATTGTCCAGTAAACTTTTCTTAGAACAAAAAGTATTTACATGTCTCATTCCATCACATATCGCAAAAATAACATAATTCTTCATTTCTGGAGAGTGGGTGGGTTATGAAAATCGTTGCTTTATGCCCCATCAGCCAGAGGCACATTCAGAACCTCTGATGTACAGTGCAAATATAGTCTGTAATAGAGCCATTTATTCCATACTGCGTACAGCTGTTTCAGACTTTTTAACCATCATCAGCGCAATGTATGGAAACTGTGACTTCTATGGCGTAGGACTTGGGACCCAATATGAAAGTTATAACCATGTATTTTAGAGAAGGTGCGAAAGCAATCAAAAAGCCCTCCAACAGAATCGGTCTGTAGCTTGGGATATGTGATGGAATGAGACATGCCTTCTATTCTAAGAGTGCTTTACTGTGCTACACACTGATTCAGTTTCAGGACTTTTTGATTTAGTCCCTATTCACCATAACATGTATTGTTATACTGTCTTGTTGGGTCCCAAACCCTACTCTGTAGAAGCCATGGTTCCCATACATTGTACTGATGATGGCCAAAAAGCTTGAAATGGCTGTATGCAGTTTGGATTAAATGGCCCTATAATATTGGGCTGTGTTTGCACTATAAATCAGTGGCTCTGCATATGAATCTGGCTAATGGACAATAAAACAAATATTTGCATGCCCACTGTCCTAAAATGAGAAATAACCCTCTTACTTTTAGGATATGTGATGGCAGGAAGCATATGAATACCTAAAATGTCTTCTAAAAAGGCTTTTCCATGCAGCACACGGATTAGTGTGAGAACTTTGATTCTTAGTCTAGGGGTCTTCAAACATTTTAAACAAAGGACCAGATTACTGTCCATCAGACCTTAGGGGGACCAAACTTTTGCCAGTGGGAGTAGAGAAAATTGCTTGATGGTCAATAGGAGTTAAAAAAATAACAGAAACCTTGTACCTGTTTTCAGCAGGAGGAATAGGGTCCCATGGTATTGCTCTTATTGGTGGAAGGAATAGTGCCCCATCATTGGTGTCAGTAGGACGAATAGTGCCCCATTGTTAATGTTAGTAGGTAATGTCAGTGGAGAATACTATGCAGTAGTGTTTGTGTCAGAGGAAGGCATGGCGCCTCATCGTTGGTGTCTGTGGGAGGAACAGAGCTTTGTATCTGTGAGAGCAACAGTGCCGCAGGGGCCAGATAAAGGCAAGCAAAGGACCGTAGTTTGGAGACCACTGCTTTAGTCCCTTCTCATCATAACCTGTTTGGTTATACTGTCTCAGTCTGTCGCATAAATGCTTAAAGCCTAACCCCATCTTTACTGTGCCTTTAAAACTACGAGGGGCGTTCAAGTCAAACTGGGACTTTTACTTTTATATAACAAAAGAACAAATTTCAAGGAGTGGAAACTGCATTTATTTTTTGACATACTCTCCTGCTACATTTATACACTTATCCTAGGATTTAATGCCTGGAAAGATTTGGCATAGAAAGATTTGTCAGTACGCCTGTACCATCTTAGGACAGTCTGCTTCACTTCATCGTCATTGTGTTCACCATTCTCACAGAAACATTTGTCTCTTGTACAATTACACATTTCAGGTTATACATCAATTATCCAGGAACCGGCGTTCCACACGCTTAATGTTCACAGGAATGACTACTTTGGGCTGAGAACCACCATGAGCAGGAATGTTACTGACAGACATATGGCCATCTTTGAAAAGTTTACACCATTCTTATGTCTTACTGCAGTTGAGCATCTCATCACTGTACTGTGCTTGAAGTTTTCTGTAGATATCTGCAGGTTTTACGCCTTCGTTCACAAGAAACTTCATCACCACACACTGTTCCATGCACGCACTAACACTGTTTTCTGCCATCTTTATTAACGATCTTTGGACTGCCCGTGACATGTGCGCCGCCTATCAGTAATTGGACATACTTGACACTTACTACTGCGTGTAGTACCACCATGCTGACATCCTTTTTTATACTTGTAAAATTAAAAGTCCCGGTTTGACTTGAACGCCGCTCATATTTCCATTACCAACAGATGTACCTGCTAGGCATGTGTCAACTACAAACCCTATATAGTGTTGTGTTCCTGCAGCGGGATGGGGACTTCTTGTCCCACCCCAAAACAAAATCGATTCAGGCTGAGCATTGCGCAGCAACCATTCATAGGAAGCTTTGCATTCTATGAATGAATACAAACCTTCATCTGATTAGCTGAGGCAGGCGGATGATGTCACAATCTTTGCCTAAGCCAATCAGATGAATCTATTAATTTATTCATAGAATACAAAGTTTACTTTGAATGGCTGAGCAGTGGTCAGCCCAACTGAATTTTGTTTCCAGAGCAGGACGGGAAGTCACCATCCAACTCTCAGAAAACAGCACTGTATGTAGCAGTTGCTACATAATGTTTATACAGCACACCCAGCAGGAACATCTATTGTTTGAAGGCACAGTAAACATGAAGTTAAGCTTTAAAGCAAGTGCACTCAATATTTTCTTAACAGATGAATTTAAAATCCATGTTTTGTAGATTTGAGTATTTAACCGCTTTCCCACCGCCCTATAGCAGATTTCCTGCTACAGGGCGGCAGGGGTGCGCAAAATCACGTATAGATACGTGATTTTGCATTGCCGAGTAGGTGGCACACGCCCTACCCATGCAGCTATTTGCGGCATCGGCTGTCAATCACCACGGGGACAGGGGAGAGTGTCAGCTCCTGCACACTGCTTTGTATGGCTTTGCATAGCAGAGCCATACAAAGCAGTGTGCTAACAGTTGAAAGCACTCACACAGCTTACAGTAAAACAGCACACAGTTAACCCTTTGATCGCCCAGTGCCATTAGTACAGTGTCAGTGCTTTTTATTAGCACTGATCACTGTATTGGTGTCACTGGGGATGTCAGTAACACCAAGTCAGTTTTCCCCGGTGTCAGAATGCACGCCACAGTCCCGCTATAAGTTGCTGATTGCCGCCATTACTAGTAAAAAAAAAAAAAAAAAAAGAAAAGAAAATCCCGCTATATTTGTAAACGCTATACCTTTCACGCAAACCAATTAATTTACACGTATTGGGATTTTGTTTAGCAAAGACGTGGCAGAATACATTTTGGCGTAAATTTATAATGAAATTAGATTTTTTTTATTTTTTTACTGGACATGTTTAATAGCAAAAATTAAAAAATATTTTTTTCTCAAAATTGTCGGTTTTTTTTTTTTTTTTTTCTTTTCTTCATAGCGCAAAATATAAAAACCTCACAGGCAATCAAATACCACCAAAAAAAAGCTCTATTCATGGGGAAAAAAAACTTCATTCGGGTGCAGCATTGCATGACTGCGCAATTGTCAGTTAAAGTAACACAGCTCCGTAATGCAAAAAAATGGCCTGGTCAGGATGGGGGGGGGGGGGGGGGTAAGTCTTCTGGAGGGCAAATGGTTCTAAAAGATGGAGGTCTTTTACTACATCCAAGTATTCCGAGCCTCTCAATTCCGGGTCCCAGATGTGGACTACAAATCCAGAGAGTACTGAAAGCAGTCCTCTCCTGTTCTACTGGACATCCTTAGAACCCCTCACCCTGCATGGGTTTGAACCTCTCAGTAAAAATAGTGTAGTACATCCAGAGTCCACATAATGGCCAA